AGAAACATCAAGATTTTTAAATTTTTTCTTCTGGGCAAAGAGCTAAGTCTCTAAGTCACTGGAGATAACCAAAGTTGGACACTCAGGCTAATTAAGTGATCCAGAGATTCATATGTAGAAAAATGATCTTTACCAGAGGAAAAAAAAATTATCACTATCATGAAGTCGTGACAAAGTCTGTTCACTCTGTCATTTTTATTATTTTATTTTTTGGAGATTCTCCAGGTGTTTGAAAGGTAGGTGTATAATAGAATAGTGAGGTTGGAAGTACTGCTCTTGTTAACTGTGTAATGTTTTATAAAACTCTCACCCTATTCCTTAATTCTCTCATTTAAAAAATGGCAAAATTCTCACCAGTCATTGAATTTTATGATATATAATCTGTGAGGCATCAAACACATTTCTTATATATAATATTGGCTTCCTAGATATTAAAAAGTTATGAACCACGATAATCAATGTTTTTTTCAATAATTTTTTTAAATGAAGGGTATGAGGCATTTATAGTAGTCATGCGTGTATTTGATTACACTTTCAACTCTTATTTCTTTTCACTTACTTAGCATAATGTAAAGAAATGATGATAGCATTATGTTAACTTTCAAAGCCAAATTCTTTCATCATTAGTATTTTTCAAAGATAATATAATTAGAAATATTTTAATCTTCATTTTATTAATAATAGAAAACATAATTTGGTGACAAAATTTGAGATGATTACCTGTAATAAGCTTGAATTCTTTTCTGATCTATTTAATCCAATAATTATGTACCTTCACCTACTTTCAAATGCACCTAATAAATTTAGCAAGGATTAAGAAGGGATAAAATATTCTTGGGTTACTACCAGAGAGAAACTTAAAGCCTAGGAAAAGTTGGCCCTACAGCTTTGTCAACCTCATTGACACAAATTAGCTTTAATTCCCTTAGGAACACTGAAATTCAGATTTTATTTATCAAAATAAGTCAATGTGGCTTTGGGGTTCAGAGAGCAGGCTCTGGGGTCTCAGTTACCAGCACATCTATTATTAGCTGTGTGACATCAATTTCCTCATCTGTAAAATCAGGATAGTAGTTTTTCCTGCGTGATAGGGCGCTATGAGGATTAAATGAGATAATGCATTAACATGCTTAGCACAGTGCCAAAATGAGTGAGCACTCAATGAACACCAGCTATTATTTATATTCTGAATAAAGTCAATAGACAACATACAGATCTATAGAGTTCAGAACTGACTTTGAATTTGGCAGTATAAAATAGACAAGATACTTTACATTTGAAGCTGACCATGTATTGACCCAAAGGTTACCTTTGTTTAATAAATCTACACACCAAAGTTTAGGGCAGTTTATCCTACCTGGCATTTCAATTGATTAAATTGCATTTGTTTAAGGTATCTCCCTTTTTGATCAATGGTTGTATAATGTGATAGTACATTATGTGTGAACCTTATTTCCTTGAAACTTAGGTAGATTAGGTTTGTCAATTTGTTATTCCTTCTAAATCACCATTAACTGGCTACTTAATTATATTCCGTTTGTATTTTCTTGAAAGCATTAAAAAAAAAACCAAAACTACTCCTAGACTCATCCAAGCAATCATGTGTCCACAGTGTTAGTAAAGCATGCCCAAAGCTGATGTTTAAGCTAATGAAATGAGAAATGTATTACATATCAGCTTTGAATAGTTCATTTATGCTGTTAGAGTGGAAAAGTAGTAGTTTCCATCTGTACTTCAGAGATTAAACCATAGCTTCTGAAAGATTTTATTATTGGAGCGAATATTAGTTTACTAGTAAAAGTCCCCTAGAGGAGTTACAATGAAATCATGTTACAATAATGAAAGGCTATGTTGTCTTTTCCTTAAAATACTTGCATCTTTCTCACTTTATCCCACATGGCAGTGAAAACTAGACCTTTACATGATTTTATGGGGTTTTTTTTGTTTGTTTGTTTTTTCTGTTTGTTTGTTTTTTGGGGTTTTTTGCCAAGATCCACATAGGAATATGTTCAGAGCAGTTTCACTGTTGTAGAGACTGATATTAACAGGCTGAAGGTGCTGATAGAATTAAATTATTATTATATGGCACAATTGTTTGGTAGGTAAGATAAACTATTTTCAGTGGAGAAGATTATGAATAAAGCTGTGTCAACAATAGACCATTGCAGGTTTTGAGATCACATCTCTGTATATTTAGCTACGGCTTTAGGATTAATAGAGGATGTCTAAGTGGCTAAGAGCCCCTTTGTCCTTCTCTTTGGAGTAGAAGTTTTGGTGAGGAGTTTGCTGTTTCCCTTTAGAATCTTAAGAAAATGTGAAATAACTGGACATCTTTTCTTAAGCATTCCCTCCTCTGTCAAAACTATAAGATGTAAAGATAAACTCGCTAAACATGTTGAATATCTTATAAGCCCACATAAATGTATTTTTGGAGATTCCCAAGTATGCACAAAAGCTAAATCACATTAAAATGCAAACTGAACTTGTTGCATTGTACCTATATTTTTTTGTCTGGCTTTTATATGTCATATTCTTTCACTCATTCATTTATGTGTTCTTTCATTTATTCAATTACTCAATTCATTTAAGTACTTATCTGCTATATGCCTGGCTAGGCACTTGGGATACAAAAAGGAAAAGGTTTCAAGAAACCATTGGGAAATTGTAAACATTGTAATGATGTGACTTATTTATAAAACACTTATTGAGCATCTACAGAGGGTACCAAAAAATATATACATATTTTAAGAAAGAAAAACTGTATTACAATTGTAATGCTCAATATATACCAATAACAAAAGATGAATACAAGTCACATTTGACTTCTGCAATCACAAGAGGTGCTCAAAGTGATTACCATCAGCATCCAGACACTTCTGATTATGGTGAAATACCACTTGAGCAACGTTGACCAAAGTGTCCACTTGTATATATTTTTGGCACCCTCAGTATTTTGTGGCAGACACTGTTGTACTTAATGCTAAGAGTAGATTTTTGTCGATAAGATTATATTTTAAATGAGTCTGAAGTTTGAGAAGAACTTAGGCAGAAGGTCTATGATGAGAATTCAAACAGGGGATAGTGATGGTTAGAGGCCATGGGGCAAGACTTGATAGTGGATTTTAAAGATATTTATATGGTAGAGGAGATTTCACTTAGTGGACATTAAGATAGAGAGGGTAAAGAAGAGTGGTCAAAAAGGCACGTTGATTTTTTTTCAGGGGTGACTAGCACCAATATAGAAAATAATAAAAGATAATTAAGTTTTCCAGGTGAAAAAGAATATGTTTATTTTTAGATAGGAAGAATTTGAGGTGCTATGAAAAATTAAGATAGAATATTGCAATGTCTAGTTGGATATATAGTTCTGGAATTCTCTGCATGTTGGGGGTTTAGATGAGAGATATAGTTTGGGAATCACATCCAAATAAATGGGAATAGTGGTTTGAGACTATTTCTTGTAGACAAAGTGGTGTGAGTAAGCTTCCTCCTTGGCTTTGTCATCCATGTACTGAAAGTAAGATGGGATTTGATGGAATCTGACTGTAGAATACTATCATTCAATTGAAGTTTATGTGATGATAGAAGTGTTCCCCCCTCTCAAAGCAGTAGTCAGTAGCCACATGTGCCTATTGAGCACTTGAATTGTGATTGAGGAACTGACTTAAATTTCAGGTAAATTTAAGAGATGTAATTTTTAATAACTACACATGGCCAAGTGCCACTTTTTATTGGACAGTACACCTGGAGAATGAACAGGGTAGAGGAATACAATAGGTAACCCTGGTAGGACTAGCGGCTAAGAAGTAGGGTATAGATGATATATTTTAGTAGCTGGAGGAAAGAGGGGACTAGATAAAATATGAGTGCCCATGTATATCACCAGCATTTTCCCATATCAAGAACATGGCAGGTAGGCAAGATGTGATATACCATACATGTAGATAGAGATTTGGATTCAGAAAAAAATCATAGTTATCAATATTTTTATACCAGATAAAGTGCTTCTATATTCCAGGTTTAGAATCATTGCTCTAAAAATGAATCTGTTTTTATCCTTCATCTTCACATGGGACAGAGGCAAATATAATTAATAATATAATATAATATATAGTGTTTTAGTTGAGTAGAGTGTATCTGGCAGTCTGAGTTCAATCTTTGTTCTGCAATGTATTAGCAGAATGACTTTGGGAAGGATTCTTGATTTCTCCTTGTCTTCATCATTCAACTATTAACCCCAGGTTAACACTTGAGTTATTTTAAGATTTAATCACAGCAGACACTTAGAAAAGTTACTTAAATTTAGTGAAGAGTTAACAAATGTTGCTATCATTAACCTTAAAAGTAAACTTGGATAATTATTTTAATTAAGGCTATTTTGAAATGTTTATTTAAAAACAGACAATATATGGATTGCCCTTACTGACAGAAGCATCCCTATACTCATTGAATGTTTTATTATTATAGATAGAAACATTATGCATGTAAGATCACTGATTTCTTTGATGATTTGTTGATAGGGAAAATATCTTACCAAAATAAAGTTTGCGGAATTTTTATTATTTCTATGATGTAGAATTAGTACCTTTAATTGAATTTTTTTCTATTTAGCAACTGAAATGCTTTCTTTCTTTAAATACCGTTATGTTTACAATTTCAACTGTTATTCACATCAATTCTTTTTGTAATTTCTTAGGGCTTATGTTGGATACGATGAGAAATGATTTTATGATCCCTGGCTTGGTAAAAACAAAAATGACATAAAAAAGAAACATAATCTTTTAAAACATTTCTATAAAAATGCCTCTCTTTGTTTTTTATTCCTTTTACTTTTCAGAAATTCAAGATTATTCTGCCAAAATGTTTTGTCTCTCTATATGAAAGAATTACAATTTTGCTTATCAAATATTTGTTCAAAAATATGATTCTGCATTTCCCAGAAACTCCAGAATCTAAAAATACAAACAGGACAATCTTCTCTTTCTTATTCATTTTAACAGCAATCCCTGAGTTTGTAACACAAGTGAATATTGCCTTGGAAGCCTTAAATAAAAATTCTTTGGATGTGCTTGATGATAATCAATTTGTGGACAGTTCAAAGAAGATCTATGATACAATTCATGATATCAGATGTGCAGTCATGATGATTCGGGTAAGCTTACTTTACCTTCCATTAAATTATTGCAACACTCTTCACCATCTGGAATGCCTGAAATGTTTGGAAGAAATGTTTATCTCTATGTCATAATGTTAATGGTGAAGTCTGTTAGAACTTTGGAAATTTGTGTGCATCCCCAAAGTCAGACCTGCTGTCACAAACAATACTTTCACCTATGTATATGATTATAACTTATGCAGATGAGCATATTTAACTGCCCTGTATTCAGGAATGATAGGATTTGCTGTATGCAGGATTCAGTGAGGTGTCACATAACATGATCAGGAGCCAAAAAAAAAATACATAAAGTAATTTGCTTTCTTTTCTTGAACAGAAAGAAAAAGATCTTTCTGATCACTGTACTGAAATTGGTAGGAAACTGTGTTTAAAACAAAGTATTTCTATAGCCAGAGCCTTTCATACTAGATCATAGAGTCACAGAGTGTAAGAAATGTCACTTGGAGCTGCCTGGAATGACAAATACTTGAACTGTCTCCCAGAAGTTGTCTCTTTGGGGGATATGTGCCATCTTCCCTAGGATGAGAGTGAGCCATTTGTTGTGGGCGCACTACATATACAGAGGCCAGGATTATTTGTTTTTACTCAAATGTTAATGTGGAGTATTTTTCTTTAATGATATTTTAAAAACACAATGTAAGATCTTTGGAAAATGCACAGGTAAAGATATGGAAATACCTAATCTTAGGATGGGTTTGCTAGGAAGCAGATCCTGTGGTAAGGATTTGTGTTGCCATTAGTCTATTTAGGAACAAGTGAGACAGAGAAAGTGAGGCAGATAAAAGAAGGAAACCAAGAAGGCATAATTATGAGTCACTGCGGAAAAGTGAGGCTTGATACTGCTGGGGAACTATGGGGGGTACTACAGGGCACACCTCAAAGTTATCTCACCTGGGGTGAACAAAATCAATTTACCCACCTATTCATCCTTGGTTAAAAGCTACCCCTTTGCAGAGGTGTTACCAGAGTCTCCCGCCTCAGTCAGTCAAGCTCTTGTGGCCAAAATAAACAGCCCTCAGGCAGAGTGGCAGGTGCTCGCTGTAAGAAGATTCAGTAGGACTGGTGAGTGAAATTAATTAAGTATGCATAGAGTTCAACTTGAAAGATTCTTGGTTTAACTGTTAGGAAGGCTATAAGATGGAACTAGAAGTGCTGAGGAGATATGGACGGAACATCAGTAGTATCTGAGAGGACTGAATGTGGTAGGTAAGTTACGCTGAGAAGTCCATAAAAATGGAGTCATTTAGGGGGACCTTGTAAGGAAAGGGGTCAACAAAAGTCAAGGAGCCTCGCAGGGCAGATGGAAGCTTATGGAAGAAACTGTAGAAAAAGACTAGAGGTGTCAATAGGATCTAGCACTTCAGAGCTTGGGAAAACCTGAAAGCAAACCAATTCTATGTATAGGAGAGAAACCTCAGGACACATACTTGTGGTCAGCCTGGAAGCATTTGTCCACATGTGATAGGGAACTGTGGCACTGTACCAGCACTATGTCTGAACTGCAAAGTACATTTACCAAACATGTTCTTCTCCTAAGAAAGGTTTTTATGCCTTACCTGTGTTCACTAGTGGACTAGTAATAAGTCAAAGCTGGGAGGGTAGGTGAAACTAGAAGAGAAACACATGAAAGACACATGTGAAAAAGACACATGAAATTCAGGAAATAGACTTACCAGAGTGAAACCTTTGCATTTCCAGTGTCCTGGGTGTATATTTGAGAAGATAAACCAGTGAAATAGCATAGGTGAACCAGGGTTGGGAATGAATTTTTTTGCTGCAAAAGGGATGACAAAAAAGTCTTAGAATCTCTTCCAGTTGGATATTCCAGTATTAAATTGTTTTCCTTGTTATCAAAATGACTTATTTATAGCACATCAAATGATCTTACCATTATTTCTATATATCCCTCATATTCAGCAGTCCTCTGTAGGGCAGGAGAACCATTTATTGTCATTATTAATAGCCTTAGAGGACAATTTTTCTTTATAATCATCTCCTTTGCAAGGTAAATACTTCAATTTCTTCAGCTTTTCCTCATAGGAATAATTTATTTTGTGTTCCTTATAGTCCTTACTTAACTTTTCAACAAACTTCTCAAATGAGACTATCAAAAAGCTACACCAATTAGGGCCTGTCCACTGTCAAATAAAGTGGAAGACTTCTTCTTATGTTATTGCTATTAATACAGCCAACTGCTGTTAGCTTATTTTTTCCCCTCTCAGCACCATGATTGTTGGATAGACAATGACTTCCTTTCATTTTTACATTTTTACCCTGTTTTTGCCTGTATATCCCTTCTACATTTTGATTTGATATGTTTCCTCTTGGTCCTAATTCCTAATCCAATGAAACTTCTTTCTACTTCTAAATGATTCTTCATATAACAGGTTGCTTTTAAATCTAGTTGCTGAACATACCAGAGTTAGCATCAATTTTCAATTTGAGATTATAATTTTAGTTCCTTCATCTAGATTACTACTAAAAATATTGCATTATACTGGCCCTTTATCTGACTATATGTAATGTCTGCTAGATAGCTCCAGTTAAGAGCATTAGTATAAAGAGCCCTTAGAATCTGACATCCCATCCAGCTGAGGTTGTATTTTGGAAGAATAAGTTTTAAATTTTGAGGTAGGGATAGTCTTTCTTTAAACACACTTTATGGATAAATAAATACATAAAGCAGATAAAAGCAGAGCTACTGTACTTGAAACCATGACGGATAATCCAGAGGTCTATCATCTCTGTCCCTGTACCCCCAGACTTCCAGGCAGCCTCTATGGAAACCTCAACAGGACTCCTACAGGGATTCCTTGGATGATGACCCACACACCTCTGTACTTAACTGCTAATTAGATTATAGAATGAAAGAGAAGTCTAACTCAGCCACAATTAATGAAAATCACTAATTTTTTTTCCTGTGAGAACTATCCTTTATCATAGAAGATAATAAAATTGATCTGGTATAATTGTCTCTGTTTAAGGTCAAATTCAATGCCTGACCAATATCCTGACCTTAGTTGGAAAGATTTGAGGAGTGTATCCAGAGTGTCAACATTAAGGCAATATGTTTATAATTATGCAGGTTCAGGGAAGGCCAGGCTATGATCTTGAGAGTGCTACAGAATCCTAGCATATGTCTGGATTTTCATGAGTGCTCTTTAGTACCCTTGAGATGCCCTTGAGACAATAACAGATCAGAGCCTGGTATTTTATAAGTAGTTTTATAAAAATATGATTGTATCTGCCTTTAATATTTATTTTGTTGAATGATTATGATAGCAATTGTACAGATTATCTTTGAAAGTTCTAAGATAAATCCTATGACATTTAACATTACTATCTCCACTAAATTCAGTGTGGAAAATGAGATTGTAGAATTTCATTCTTAACCTCAGAGAGTAGAGAGCACTAAACATTTTTTTTTTACTCTATTTGGTGTTTCATACCTATGTATAAATTTTACAATTAATAGGAGTCTATGTAATATAATAGTTAAGACTAAAGCAAGTAACATATCTCACTGAACCTCAGTTTCCTCTTTTGTAAAATAAACTTGGTATTAAACCTAATTCAAAAGACAATTATGCTGATGAAATGAGTTAATAGAAAATTAGTACTTAGTAAATAGTAGTGTCTTATAAGAGGATAGCTATTATTGCTATTGCCACTGTGAGTAGTACTATTACTACTGAAGCTGCCTATTATTTTTGTCTGTTCTGTATCTTGAGGAATGTTAGCTATGGAAGCTACAGAAATATACTAGCAGAGTAATATGAAGCCAAAGCCCAAAGAGTACTCAAAGGATGAAGTTCTAAGCAGAGAATTATGTTTTTTTTCTCAAGATATTGTTTATGTAAGAGGAGACCTATGTTTATTGACATTGGGCATCTACATTATAGATTATTTAATGCAAACTGTGCCTATGAACCTATGTTACTTTAAGCTAGTATGATAATTCTGCCTTTTGTTTTTATTAACCTCTTGAAACATACAAGGAGGGCTCTCAGTGGCTCATCTTTTAGTAAAAGGTGGTTAACCAGAAATAGGAAATTTAAAAAGGACAGATTAATTGAATTTTGAGAGAGTCACATGGGTGTCCAACAGTGAAATACCCTCAAAAAGAGAAAAAAGTTTAGGGAAAATTCATCCTATAATAGGTTCCATTCAGAAGGTAAACTTCGTATGTTTTGCTTGTGAATTTTCAGATGTGATTTGTCAAAAGCCCATAAGAAATAGAGAGACACTTTCTAAAGCCAAATATGCAGACTTTCAGGACCATCACTAAATTTAGATTTTCATGTTAGTTTTCTAACTTTATATTTCAGGGACTAGGAATATGTTTTAGATATTTCACTTGATGGAAGTTATTTTTTGGAAGAAACAAAGGAAAATAAATTTTAAAAATCATTTACATGACCCATTTTACATGAGCTATTTTTACAACAATTATTTACATGGCTGCCCAAATTGTAACCTGGTTCAATATAAAACTTCAGCTTCTATAGCCAGAAATGGATAGACATATGGCCTTCACTGGAATTATATATAACTTTCTTAATTTATATTACATTCACTGTTATAATTTCTCTGAACTTCTTTCATTACCCTCCACAACTTCTAGAATTTCTAGAAGTCCCTCATGACTTCTAAATATCCTTTTGTTTTATCTGACTTCTGGACCAAGCTGTTGTTTGTCTCTGAAGTTTCGCACTCTAACTACTGGAGGAAAAGGCTCTGATGGTAGCAATTCATCACTAAATGGTACAGAATTTGTGTATATCTTCTACAATTAGAATTCTGTGCGATTAAGTTCAGAAATTTAAAAAAAATAGTGAGAAGAATATTGTGTAAGATCAAAAGACATGCACCCACACTGTTTTATGTGTTACCACTCACATTGTTTTTTTTTTTTAAGATTTTTATTGGGGAACTGGGGGGATGGGAAAAGTGCTGGGGAATTGGGGGAAGGGGAA